TGGAATAAAACAATGTATATAGTCAACCCTCTGCATCTGCAAATTTCCAACTGTGGATAAAAATTATTATTTTTGATCCACAGTTGGTTGAGTCTATGGATGGGAAACCTGGTAATACAGGGAACACACTGTATATTTATTGAAAAAAAGCCACACAAAGTGGACCTTCCCAGTTCAAATACTGTGTTGTCCAAGGATCAACTGTATCCTTAGTTATAGTCACTGTGCTGTACAGTACATCCCATGACTTATTTATTGTATAACTGGAAATTTGTACCTTTCGACTCCCTTATTTCAACTCCTGCCCCTGCCACTGACAACCACCAATCTGTTCTCTGTATCCATAAAGACATTTTTTAAAAATTCCACATATAAGTGAGATCATATGGTATTTGCTTTTATCTCTCTGACTTATTTTGCTTAGTGCAATGCCCTCAAGGCCCATCTGTATTGTCATAAATGGCAAAACTTTATTCTTTTTATGGTTGAATAGTATACCATTATATATATCTCTCTCTCTCTCCTCACATTTTCTATATCCATTTATTTTCTGATAGACACTTAGATTGTTTTCATTTCTTGGCCATTATAAATAATACTGCAGTGAACATGGGGGTACACATATCTTTTCAAATTAGTGTTTTGTTTTCTTTAGATAAATACTTGGGAGTAGAATCACTTGGTCATATGGTAGCTCTATTTTCAATTTTTGTGAGGAACCTCCATACTGTTTTTCATAGCGGCTGCACCAATTTACATTTCCACCAACAGTGCACAAGAGTTCACTTTCTCTACATCCTTGTCAACACTGTTTATTTCTCAAATTACTCTAATTTGAGAAGAAATTACAAAGGGCCTATGTATAAGGATATGGTCAGTAAGAGCTCTAAAGTGGTAGTGCAGTTACCTGAGACTAATAATAGTATTTGTCATCACCTCTAGTCCTGAGAAGAGAGTGACTTTGAAATCCTGAGTTAGAGAGCTGGCATAGAGAAGGTTACCTTGAGAAGAGCTTTTAGAATGTATTCTATCTCTTTGGGTGTGAGTTGTGCTTATTAACTTCAATGCCACTCGTCTTGATTTTGCCCAAATAGATGGTGGTTTTTAGTGTTAATGAAAAATTGTATTAAGCTGGAATACAATCAATGGAAGTTGATTTTATTCTGATACTATTGCCAGAAATGGGGAAGAGAGCACAGACCAAGTGTGGATACCCAGTTCTGCTAAAGTGAAAGTCCGGACTGGGCTGAGATAAGGTGTCAGGTGCAATGGGTTTAAGCCCTGGTGTGAGCTAGTGGAAAAGTCCTAAAGGATTTTAGTGGGAGGTTGATCAATGAGATGTGTCAAGCACATTGAGTTATTTCTGAGATTGCACATGTTTGTCTGTGATGAGGCCATCTGTGTTTGCTAATTGGCACCCAAGGAAGTTAGGCTCCTACTCTACACAGAGACTGTGGAGTATCTCCTTTAATGGGGTATCTCCTTTAATGGTTGAATTTCAGGAGATAGTTCCCAGGTCCTTGAGAAAGACATTTCCTGGGGTAACTGGCAAAAGATTAGAAGATGATTCATATACACTGCAAAAGGGCAGAAAAGGAATTTATGATTATAAGTTCTCTTAAGCAAATGTTATATAAAAAAAAGAGCCTAGCGGCCTATAGTCAGAAAGAAACCTGTCTTAGATCAAGCCATTTCGGACATTGGTTTGTTGATTTTTCTTGTAGGCAATGTTGGGATGCTGCTGTATTTGTTTGATGTAACCTGTTGTAGGGGAAATGTGAGGTGCAAATAGCTTGATTTATGGTTGAAGCTTGTTTGCCATGAATTATGGGTCATGGTTGTTTATAGGCATGTGGTTGCTGCTTTGTTTTTTGACACAGTCTCTAATATTCTGGGAATTGAAAGTCAACCAATATTGCTTGACTTTCAGCCCACTTTTTGGTCCAAGAGTGTGAGTTCAGGAGGCTAGACATGCCTGACTATCCATTAATCACCAGCTTGGTTTTCTAAGCCTTCTGCTTCTCAGTAATAGACATTCCTCAGTCTGAATCTACATTATTTTGTAACAGTCCTTTCCCTTGCTCCTGTTGAGTTCTAGTATTCTATAATTCCATCACAATTACCTTTCATCTTTAGAGTTTCCCCAATCTTCTTCTGTTTCCTCAATGGCTCTCCATTTGTATTTATTTATTTATTTATTTATTTATTTAATATATTAGTGTTGGTGGGTTTTGTAGTTGGAGGAGGAAGCTTATTTTTACATTACTAGAGCCATATCTCATCCAGGGGAAGGATATTTCTCTGACTCCAGGATGTTAGTTAGCCCTGTGACCTCAGTTCTCTGAAGGGTCTAAGAAAAGTGGTTGTTTTTCACCTTTTTCTGCCTTTTCTTAATGTAAGGATAGGACTAACTTCTAAGCTCTTTACACATTGAAGGTGGAAGTCTCTCTGATTTTTTTTTGTTTGCACTCATATTTAGCCACATAATTTTTTTTACTAATTTGTTACTTTTCCAGTCTCTCTGTACACATTTAAAGCTGAAATTGGTAGGTGTAAAATAGACAGGAGGAGGTTAAGAATATTATAAGAAATGGGGAAGCCAAAGAACTCATATATATGACCCATGGATATGAAATAAGGGGTGTGGTTGCTGGAGGGAGCAGGGTACAATGTGGAGGTGGGTAAAGGGGAGAAAAATGGGACAACTGTAATAGCATAATCAATAAAATATACTTAAAATAAAGAAAACATGAAAAAATAAAGCTGTTTTATCTATCATTTTTACTTGTCTTACTGGGAGGCTTCGTCTGAAACATACTCTGACATTAGCAGAATTGGAAATCCAATCTCTTCGATGGCCAGATTAGAAAAAAAATCTGTATCTTTCTTTTAGGACTTATTTTTTTCCCTTGAAATGTCAAAGAGTCTTGGGGACTTTATCCAAACAGCATATGGAAAGGGGAACAGGCTACTTGACCCATTCACTAATGCCTACTCTTTATCACCTGCCAATGTTTCTGTTCTGGGTATGTGTTGGGGACTGCCCTGCCTGGTCTTAGGAAGCTGTAACCCCCCCATGACTTAGGCTGAGTGAGAGACCTCCTGACCAGGAGCCAATAAGGAGACAAAACTTATTTCCCTGGCATGAACGCTGCCTGTTCTGTTCTGTGCCTAACCTCCTATGCTTGATCAGTTAGCCAATGACGGGTAAGATTCCCATGGAAGGAATTACTTAAGACAGGCATGATCATGAAGAGGCCTCTGGGAAGGGACTCGGGGCTGTGGAAATGAAGGGGTGATGGACATCAACCTCTGCCCCCCTTGGCTTTGTCAAAGCCCAAGTCCTTGTCTTACAAGTGAGAAATCCAAGTCTCCTGGCTGCCTTTGTCTCCTCTGTGTAAATAACAGGAGCGGTGCAGCCCAGACCAGAAACGGCAAACCCCCGTGGTAATCAGGCCTGGGACATAGAATATGCAAGATCCTGTGAGATCTGTTTGCTGGAGGATGTTATTAAATTAGAATATGAAGGCACAAGCAGGAAAACAAAACTATCCCTTTGAGCCATATGTTAAACTCCAAACTCTGCCCAGAATCACAGCAGGGGTTCTGCCTGCACCTTTGTAAGTCACCTACTTCTTTTGATCTTTTCTGCCAGACTGTGAATCCACAAACTAAGTCTGTATTCTCAATAAAAATCTGCTTGGGAATGGAAACGGTGCACTCTCCATTAGAGAGAGTGGCCGTTCTGTCCCTATTCCCCCACAGGACCTGGTTGTCTCTGTGTATGTTTTTCTCGTGTTTCAATGAGCATCTGCAGCAGAGATGGATACTGCTGACCGGTATCAGCCACAGGTATGTGGGATCCCTGTTAAAAAAGATGAAAGCACATGGTCCAGTTCTGCATTATCAAGATATAATAGAGCCTTTGCTAATTAACTTACTCTGCCAAAGGAAAGATGATTCATTTCCTTAAATTTTGATGGCCCTCACTGTTGGGCTTCCAAGTTTATTGGCACAGTTAGGCTTTTCTTTCCAAAGTTTGCCATAATGTCATGTGTTTGGGTCAGGAGAGCCTTGTAAACTAATCCACATATCCTGGAACCAACATTTCACCCTTGCTGATCTATACTTTGGCATTGAAATAAACAAATAAACAATTTTACCTACTTCCCTTTTTCCTATCCACTTATGTCATTTCTCTTACAGGGAAAGTTTCACTTCAGAGAATTTTGATGTCCTTTATAGTGCTAATGACCCATAAGACCTCACTGGAATTTTCTTAAGTTACTAGAGAAATTCAAGTAATGTTGAATATAAAAAAATTAGTTGCAATATTCTTTTTTAGTATTTAATGCAAATTAACCCATAAATTGACAGTTTGTAAAGTGACAAAACAATTCTTGTCAAATTCTTGACTTATATAACTAAGAGCATACTCTAGAGTGATTCTTTCTAGAGGATTTTAAATATGCTGTATTTATCATTAGATAGGAAAATTGCTGACAATTTTAAATGAATTTTTTTTTGTATTAAGAGAAATGATCACTTAGATACAATTTCTTGTAATGAAATTTTTTTTGTATTAAGAGAAATTATATCACTTAGATACAATTTCTTTCTATTGTCATCTTAATTTACATTTTTAAAAATTAGTAGTGAGCTGGAATAGAAAGAAAAGCAGGGACTCTGGAGCCTGACTGGTTGGTTTCTAATCTCACTTTGAAACTTCCTCCCACTTGACTTTGGGCAAGTTTCTCAACTTTCTTGCCTCGTGTGCAAAACGTATAAGTAACAATTGTAGTTGTTTCATAAGGCTATTATGGCAATTTGATGAATTTACAACAGTGCCTTGCAAGTATGCTATACAACATAGATGAATTAATTTGACTCAACATTCCTAGCAATTGAAAGACATGAAATTTTAACCCCAGACTCTTGTGCTACAAAGTCTGTGCTTTTTCTTTAATACCAATTATAGAATTCTATCATTTAAAGTTGGCTCACTTCCTGGACACATTCTCATCCAAACCCAGTAGCCTCTGGAAGCCCACTCTCAGCTCCCGGTTCCTAAGAGCATACACCATAGGGTTCAAGGCTGGGGGAATGACACTGTGCAGCACATTGAGTAGAATAGGGACAAAGCAAAATCTTCCTCTAGCCAGATGGGTGACAGATACAACAACAATGGCAATGTAGAAAAAGAGAATGAGGATGTGATGGGAGCTGCAGGTATTCAGGGCCTTAGATATTGCTTCAGCAGAGTTCAACCTCATCATTTAGCAAATAATCAAAGCATAAGAAGTAAAGATCAAACCCATGTCACTCCCAACTATAACCCAGGCCAAGGCCAACTGATAAAACTGATTAATGGTAATGTCATCACAGGCAAGACTGATGTCACCCAAGTTAGAACACAGGCAGTTATCAATCTCATTTCTGGAGCAGTAGTGTCGCTGGGCAGCCAATATAGGCAGTGGAATGGTCAACAGAAAATTTCTGAGTATCATAGATATTGTGACTGATCACAAAAACTTTAGTGACTATGGAGGGGTGCTGAAGGGGATAGCAAATAGCTACATATTTATCCACAGCCTTGCAGAGAAAAATGCCTGACTCTATGCCCATAAAAGAGTTGATAACATAAATCTGAGCAAAACACTGAGGAAAGCTGATGACTGTGGCATCAAACCAGAAGATGGCCAGGATCTTGGGCATGCTGATGGTGGCCAGGCCAATGTCCACTACAGCCGGGATACCAAAGAAATGGTACATGGACTGGTGCAGAGAAGGCTCACGTTGGATGGTGATCAAGATGAGGAGATTGGCACCAGCAGCTAAGACATAGAGGAGAGCCAGGGGTAGGAAGAGCCAGTGCTGTCACTCATGAATGCTTGGGAGCCCCATCAGGATGAACTCAGACACTTGAAACCTTGAACTATTGATCATTCTCAGGGTGGTATCCATCTGATGTGATGTCTTCTTGTCATCATCTACCTGTAAATTAAGGGGAAACAAAAATAGACTTTGGTTTGCTCAGCTGAGGGTTAACATTTATGTTAGAGGTATATAATTCATCCATAACAACTCAGTCATTTTAACACAATGTATTCTCAACCTATTTGAAACCATTAAGAAAAGTTCAGACAAGAACTGATACAGACAGCGGCCCACAGTGTCCTCGTCATTATGGATGAAATGCGACATTCACACAGACTACTGAGTCTGGTGAAGGAAAAGGGACAGCATGGCTTTTCTTTCAAGGGGAGCAAAAGCCACAGTCTTTGCCATCCCAGGCCTTTATTGGATTTCTCTGCCCATTACATGATGGTCCTCATTTACTATGCACAGACTCGCTTTAGGTGGTTACCTTTTATAGCAAACAAAGGAGCCAATGCTGCTAATCACATCACAGAAGAGGGATATTTGCAAATGAAAAGGGAAAAGTAGTTGAACCGGTTACTCATCCTTGGAAGGTTTAGCAATGTTTTTAGGAAATTGCTTTGCAGTAAATGTCCTCAATTCAGGGTGAGGGAGTTTTAGCAAAAAACTAAGACTCATAGTGGCCTAAGCACATTGCAGGCCTGATTCCCCATGGGAGAACCTATCTGTGGGCATGGGTCCTGTGCATCTCTGAGTGGGAGCTGGGCCCACACCATGCAGAATGGTCTACTACAAAGAACAACAGAAAAAGGTAAAGGGATTCAGCAAAAAACAACAAAACAACTCACTAAAAACAAAATAACAAACAAAAAAAACTCATAGACACGGATAACAGTATTGTAATTACCAAAGGGAATGGGGGATGGAAAAAGGTAAAAGAGAGTAAAGGGGGAATAAATGGTGATGGAAGGAGATCTGACTTTGGGTAGTGAACACACAATACAGTATACAGATGATGTATTATAGAATTGTACATTTGAAACCAATATAATTTTATTAACCAATGCCACTGAAATAAATTCATTAAAACAAGAACATCAGAAAACACAAAATAGTTTCTATGATAAAAATTTTAGAAGAATAAAAGTGAAGGTTTACTGGCTTTTTATTCTAGGTAGATTTTTTTAAATGTGTGGGGAACACAAACACAAAGGAGAAAACATGTATCTTATAAGGAACCCAAATTTTCAAGAGGTAAAGTTAGAGACCAGAGAAACTTTTTCCACAAATGAGTATCTTCAGGAAGACAATAAGTAGCCACAGTGACAACCCTGAGCATGTTTTTCTTTTAAATGGCGCCTGTGGTAGGGAAATCGTTTCTGCCAAAACTGATCTCATTTAATCTTCACCAAACAGGTATTATTGACATATAAGGGTAGAGAGGTGAATGATTTGTCTAGATAAGAATCATACTGTAAACACTAAAAAGTTGAGAAATCTTCAGCGAAAGTTTAATGTTCTGCAGTGGTATGAGCACTCTTTCCATAAAATAGACAAAAAAATCAGTTCCCTTTCAGAATATAATTTACTCCTTCTTCTGATTATAAAAGTAATCATAAAGACATACTGGAAGCTAAATTATAAATAGTTAATTTTATTAATAAAAGATGTAAGGAAAAAAATTACCCACAAACTTTCAACCACTTCCAGATTTTTGTGTGGTATAGATTGAAAATATAGCAGGCACTTATCATAAACATCTAGCTTTTTTCACTTAAGTAATTTCTTGGCTTATTCTTGGCCCTCTAATACTTTTTTTCATTCTTACATTATTGATTTTGTTTGTTCTTGAATTATTGTAGAACATTTTCAAGTATTTGAATCATAAGGTGTCTGTGGGCAAAAGTATATATGGACTTTTTACTTTTGGAATCCTTCAATATCTGAGAATTCTTTTTGTTACCTTTATTTGTGAAGAATACTTTGCCAAATATTTAGGATTCAGTAGAATTCCTTATTCTGTGCTTTTTCTAACATAGTACAATTCATTGGGAAACTCTTTTAAAATATTTTAAGTTTTTATAACCTTTATTTTCAACAGTCACTAAATATTATCATATAGTTTTATAACATCTTCCCCAATTTTTGTTTTGTTTATATGATGCTTATATATAGTTTTGGACATATTTTTTACCTTTAAAAATCATGCTTATATTATTTTTCTTTTATGTGCTTTCTATGCCTTTTAAGCTTAAATGGAACTGTAACCAAGAATTTATTAATGGTCTCTGTGGAAGTCTGTAAACTTCCTAAATTGACATGGAAAATTTTGTCTATATTTGCATCATTCTGGGGAGAGAATCTGTTTAGCCATCATCAAACTCTCAAAGCATTCCCATTATCCAAACAGGAGATATTAAAAATCATTCATTACTCAATATTTGGATGAATATTCCCTTACATATGACTTTTAATTTTTAATGGTTGATTTTTTGATTTTGTGACACAATTTATTTTCACATAATTAATTTTGTTGTTCAAGAGAGGTATATAAATAAGTTAATTTCAAATAACTAAATCATGGCTCCTATATATCTCACCAAGTGATTATTATGCTTTTTTTGGGTCACACTGTGAATTTTTAAGTAAATAAATTTAATTTTGGGGCAATCTACTGTTTCTACTTCCTTCTGATTAGTTTTGTACTGATATCAAACTAAAAAGGTTTAATTTTTAGAAAGAAATCAATACATTTTTATATTTTTATTTCTTTAATTATTCCCTTTAATTCTTTTAATTTTTATTTTAATTGTTTCTCAAGTACAGTTTTGTCTTTTACTCCCATCCCAGCCCCCTCTGTAGCCCTTCCCATCTCCCTCCCATTTCCACTCCCCCTAGTTTTTGTTCATGTGTCTTTTATACTTGTTCCTGTAAACCCTAACTCTTTTCCTCTGAAATTCCCTCCCCTCTACCCTCTGGTCACTGTCAGCCTGTTCTCCATTTCAGTGTCTTTGGTTATATTTTGTTTGTTTGTTTGTTTTCTTGTTTAGGTTCCTGTTAAAGGTGAGATCATATGGTATTTGTCTTTCACTGCCTGGCTTATTTCACTTAGCATAATGCTTTCCAGCTCCATCTATGCTGTCACAAAGGGTAGCAGCTCCTTCTTTCTTTCTGCTGCATAGAATTCCATTGTGTAAATGTACCATGATTTTTCGATCCATTCATTTACTGATAGACACCTAGGTTGCTTCCAACACTTGGCTATTGTAAATTGTGCTGCTATGAACATTGGGGTGCATAGGTTCTTTTGGATTGGTGTTTTAGGGTTCTTAGGATATAATCCTAGCAGTGGAATTGCTGGGTCAAAAGGCAGATCCATTTTTAGTTTTCTTAGTAAATTCCATACTGTTTTTCATAGTGATTGTACCAGTCTGCAGTCCCACCAACAGTGCGCCAGGGTCCCTTTTTCTCTACAATCTCTCCAACACTTGTTTGTTGCTTTGTTTATAATGGCCATTCTGACTGGTGTGAAGTGGTATCTAATTGTGGTTTTAATTTGTATCTCTCTGATGGCTAATGATATTGAGCATCTTTTCATGTTTCTCTGGATCCTCTGTGTATACTCCTTGGAGAAGTGTCTGTTCAGGTCCTTTGCCCATTTTTTAATTAGGTTGCTTGTCTTCTTAGAGTGGAGTCATGTAAGTTCCTTATATATTTCGGAGATTAAACCTTTGTCTGAGGTATCATTGGCAAATATATTTTCCCATACAGTTGGTTTTCTTTTTATCTTAATACTTTTTTTTTAACCATGCAGAAGCTTTTCATTTTGATGAGGCCCCATTTGTCTATTTTTCCCTTTATGTCCCTTGCTCTAGGGGACATATCAGTGAGAATACTGCTGTGTGGAATATCTAAGATTGTCCTGCTGATGTTTTCCTCTAGAACTTTTATGGTATTACAACTTATATTTAAGTCTTTTATCCACCTTGAATTTATTTTTGTGTATGGTGTATGTTGGTGATTGAGTTTCATTTTTTTTGCACATAGCTGTCTGGTTCTCCCAACACCATTTGTTGAAGAGGCTGTTTTTACTCCATTTTATTTTGCTGCCCCCTTTGTCGAATAAGTGACCATAGAGACTTGGGTTTATTTCTGGGCTCTCTGTAGTATCCCATTGGTCCATGTGCCTGTTTTTATGCCAGTACCAGGCTGTTTTGATTACAGTGGCCTTGTAATACAATTTGGTATCAGGTATTGTTACCCATACTACTTTGCTTTTCTTTCTCAAACTTGCAGCAGCTATTTTGGGCCATTTATGGTTCCATACAAATTTTAGGAGTGTTTGTTCTATGTCTGTGAAATATGCCATTGGTACTTTAATAGGTATTGCATTGATCTGTAAATTGCTTTGGACATTTGTTTTTTACATTTTTTTAATTTTAATAATTGTTCAAGTACAGTTTTCTCCCTTTTACTCGCATTCCAGCCCACCCTGAAACGTTAGTATGGACATTTTGATGATGTTAATTCTTCTGATCCATGAACATGGTATATGTTTCCATTTGTTTGTGTCTTCCTTGACTTCTTCAGTGTTGTGTAGTTTTCTGCATACAGGTCTTTTACCTCTTTGGTTAGGTTTATTCCTAGGTATTTTATTTTTCTTTTTGCTATATTGAATGGGATTTTTTTTCTTGATTTCTGCTTCTGCTGTTTCATTGTTGGTATAAAAAATGCCTTTGATTTTCGGGTATTGACTTTGTATCCTGCTGTTTTGCCAAATTCTTTTATTAGGTTGAGCAGTTTTTTGGTGGAGTCTGTAGAATTTTCTATGTACACTATCATGTCATCTGCAAACAATGACAGTTTTGTTTCCCCTTTCCAATTTGAATGCCTTTTATTTCCTTTTCTTGTCTCATCACTGTGGCTAAAACTTCCAATACTATATTGAATAGAAGTGGTGAAAGTGGACAACCTTGTCTTCTTCCTGATAGGTCTCTCATATATGGTCTTTATTATGTTGAGGAATGCTCCCTCTATTCCCACTTTATTGAGTGTTTTTATCACAAATGGGTGCTATACCTTAT